CTCTTCATTTTTTAAATGAGGATGCTAAGACCTAGAGAGGGAACCCAGCTGGCTCGCAAATCACTTAGCTACTAATTGGCAGTTTAAACTAGTACTCACATTTCAGACTCCTGACTTTTCTTTAAACTCATATTTGTATAATGTTTTATCTTTGCTGTCTGTGTTTTCAGCGTGGAGTTCTTTTTAGTTCCACATATCTCAGGGACCTGGGTGGTACTTTTCCCCCAGTTTTAAAGAAGGTTAAACTCAGGTTTAAAGGCAGTAAGGAAACCAGATAGGGATGTTAAGTAGTAGAAAATCAAAGTAGGGCGCTTATTAAATCCATAGTCTATGCTCCTTGAGCATCTTATAGAGAAGACACACACCTGAGAATAACAGGGAATAGGAAAATAAGAAAAAGGCAGTCAAATGTAATGAGGATGAAGTAAATGTGTACCAAGTGAGAGAACTGAGTAACACGGAGTCCTGCTTGGAAACTGCCGAAATTGGGACTAGGAAAGCTTAGATAATGGTTGGATTACCAAATATCATAATATTTATATTTCTTCTACTTTTCTCTTCCCTATCCTTCAAAACCATTCATTTGCTACCCCTGTTATGCTAATGTATTTTTTTAAAAAAACCTTTTGAGTTTAATTCGCATTTTATGTCATCGGTAACAGAAGAACCCTAAAGCCATTGAGATTTCAGTTGTCATTCTGTTCATGCATTATTTGTTTAGGATTTGACCTCACCCAACATTTTTTTAACTTACAGGATTTCTGTTGCGTTTAGTATCCGTATCATACATCATCAAAGTGGGTTCTTGTTGTTAGTAGATGTCACTGTAATAGACCTGTGCTTTTGGGAAAGGAGCTTGAAACTTTTTTTTTTTTTGACCATGGAAAATTGGTGTTTTCTCACTTTCATTTAGTATTTATAAGCACAGTTTTAGTCTATAACACCGTTTAAAACCATTTCCTATCCTTTAAATGCATTGACACACACCCATATTCTGTCCTGACAAAAAGTAAGGACCCCAGCTTTATCCCAGCCTTGGCAGAAGTAAATACACACAGCAGTAGGAGTTGGTCTTAGGTCTCCGCCGCTGATAAACCTGGCGTCATAAACACGCTCTTTCTGCTTAGTAAACCACATTGTGGGTGTATTCCTGAATACATTATTTTCTTTAGGAAAGAGTTCTTTTAAATACACTTTACATTTCCTTTTAGTCCCCACCACCCTTCACCAGCCTTCAGAGGCTCAGATTGGGGTTAAAACACTTTTTCGTATTATTTTAATTATTGCTCTCCCCACCCCCAGCCCCACTACTTTCCTGTTTCCCCCTCCTCTTTTCCCCTAACGGTACTGTTCTGCAAAGCCTGCAATGATTGATATGATGGCAGTGCTGTCATTCTTTTTAACCAAAAAAAAAGTCATTTTTGTTCTAGTTATTTTAATAGAGTCCCATTAAAGATGTATTGCTGACTGAAATACCGGCACGAAGGGCTCTCACTGAGCTGAGCCCAGGAATTAAGAAGTCAGGAAATCGGCTGCTGCATTGCAAGAGAGCCTTGTGTGACACCGAATCTCCTGATTGGGGAGATCATTACTGCTATTATGACTCGACTTGCGTAGGAATTTTAAATTCCATCTGAATGTCAGTAATAACCCTCTTAGCAAATTATCCTGAATAAAATCACGAAGGCATTTTATATAATAGGTGTTGAATTACTGGATAGATTTGCTAATTAAATACTCTTTGTTCTGCTGCAGTTGACATTACAGGGTAAGATCTTGAACAATTATTCTCAACAGCTGTACTTTGTTAAGGGAAAAATTAACCACAAAGTTTATTTTTTTACACTTGAAGTTGGCAGATTTTTGAAATGTGCTTGAAAAAATTCCATCATCCAATTGGTAATGAGTAGATAAATATGCAGGTGTTGCTGTGAAATCAGATAACTGCAGACTGCCTTATTAATGAATTTAGCAAGCCTTTATAGCCCTGTTTTCTAGCTGTTGGCACTTACAAAATGATTTTCTGTCAGAATGGGTAGCTTTGATATTAGGCTTGTCAATTTGAAGTGAACTTAGAAACGGACATCTGGTAGTCACTGTACCATGTGTCCAGTAGACTTTTCTTGATACCTGTGACTTCTTTTAAAAATCCATTTCCTTAATGGGGAAAATACCTGTGAGGTATAAGTTTTTGACTATTGGCTTCCAGAACAGTCATGTGGTATGGGCTTTTTAACAAGGCAGTGAAACATTCTGAAAAGAAAACGAGACATAAGGTCCAGCTTCTAGTTCAAACTCTTGACTAATTCTGTTATTTTGGGTAAAATCACAGGGCCTAATTTTACTCATCTATAAAATGGGGTTTGTAATACTGCCCACTCCTTAGGATTATTCTTTCAGCATTTTACAAATAATCGTTACTAGGTCCTGTGCACTAGGCCCTGTGCTTTATACAAAGAATTTGGTAGCCCACAGGATATCTAACAGCTGAGCCCTCTCCAGTGAGCAGTTTGAATCAGGGGTGGCTTTTGGGTGATGCTGCTAATGAAGCACTTGGATAAACCTTGGTCTGGACAGGGCACTGTGGTACCCATCATGTATAAGTGCTTTAGAAGAAGGATGAGAGGTCAGGGTCAGCCTGGTTGTGGGTTGTCTCCTATAGAATGGACTGAAGAGTTGACGTGCTGTGGTGAGGACCTTGAACCTGAAATGAAGCATAGTCATCAGCTATTGTTGAGGTCCCCGTGAAAGACGGTGATAAAGCTATCCTCAGAAATTGGTGTAACCTCCGTGGAGAGCTATTTGGCTGTATCTATAAAAAATTTGAACCCATATAACCTTTGGCCCAATAAGTCTTCTTAGAGGCGTTTTATCTTGTTTACTAGCATTTTATTCATGTATAAAGATTATTTGTTGAAGTGTGGTTATACAGGTAAAGATCAGAAACAACCTACATGTTTATTACTAGAACATTGGTTAGATATATCATGATCGATTCACACGACGGAATACTGTATAGCCATTAAAAAAGAGTAAGGCAGCCCTGTATGTGTAGATGGGAAGTCATCTCTAAAATAAAGTATCAGGTGGAAAAAAGTAGTTGTAGTATAGTCTTTGTTTTACTTCGTTTTCTGCCATTTTTGTGCAAAAGATCCAACACCAGTTTTCTTCTGTCAAAGAGAAAATTGTTTTGGTAGCAGCCCTCAAATCATGCGTGGAAGTGGTTGTGAGTTGGTGGTGGGAGAGAATAGAGATGGTGGGAGATCTGAAAGATGAAGGTTGCCAGTACACACTTGGAGGTACACTCAAGGGTGACATAGTGGGTTTCATCCATGGTGTGAAAGAAGAGTAGAGGAAATTGGTTCCTGCATATACCGAGTTGCAGTGAGAGGTTGACAAGCTCTGTCTGAGGTATTTTACTTAGGTAATGGTTACCTTGTGGAGTTGTCTGTTGTGATGAGGAAAGCAAAGCCTGGTGGGGTGGAAGTGGGGAGGGCGAAGAGAACTTGTGATGAGCAGTTCTGTCCTCACTGTGATTAACTTGGTTGATCTCTTTATTGCCCTCTTCCCGAAGGGACTGTCAGATAGTCTCCCACAATGCATTTCCCTGCAATTTAGATGTTTAAAAGTGAAGATGAAGTGGAGGAGAGTGAATGCTTTTTAGGAGTTAACTGAATTTCGGGAAAGTAATTGGGATTACTGTGAGACCCATCAGTCACCTAGCAAATGATTTTTTGAGCACCTGTCGCATGTGAAGCCTAGAGTTAGACACAAACATGTGCTCTGACCTCTAGGAGCTTGTGGTCTAGTTGGGGAGGGTACAGACTCAACTGAAAACTGTTTTCCGAACGGGATTGTCATGATTATCTTAGGCCAGTGGCCCTTAGCTCTGCCTGCAACATGAATATCTGGAGAGCTTTTTCAAAAAATTGCTAGGGCTGGTATTGATATTTTTTTAAGATTCCTCAGGTGCTCCAGTCTCTACAGCCACTATTAAAACCATTGATAAGGGGCACCTGGGTGGCTGTCCTTCAAGGGTCTGCCTTCGGCTCAGATCATGATCCCGGGCTCCCCGCTCTCCATCTGCCTCTACCTCTTCCCTCTCTGCTCATGCTCTCTATCTCTCTTTCTCAAATAAATAAAAAAGTAAATCTTAAAAAAAGTTGGTTAGCCTAATCCATATTCACCACCTACCCACCACCCTCAGGGCAAGGGAAGGGCTTTCTTCTCTAAGAACATAGGACAGTGAATGCCTGATGAAAATTAGGAGACTGTAATAAAGGAGAGGAAGCAGTGGAAGTGGAAATAAGGGGTGGATGTAAAAGATAATCGAAGTTCAGGGTTTATGGGGCTCTGTAATACACATCTCCAACTGCAGCTACACGGGCCTAGGGGCAATCTTGTCTACACATATTATCTAGACGTTTATCTCCATTCACCAAATATTTATTGCACCCCACCTTTGTAGTGGGCACTCTGCCAGATTGAGAGAATCTGTGAAGGTCTACTCCCTGTCTTCAGGAAATTTAGTCTTGAGAAGAAATTGAAATCTGGTGCATATATATTTATTTTTGTCACTTTTTAAGATTTTGAGTACCATGGGTAAGAATTGCCAGATTTGAAATGCTCTGTTAAGCTTTTGCTTTTCAGTCATGCAGTTTTATTTAAATATCAGTAATGAGAATAGTTTGCCTTTTTACCATATCATAAAGGCATGTTTTTATTATGCATGTTTATTAAAAATAGATCTTTACATAAATCTTAAATAGATATTTACAGTAGAGCTGCTTACATATCTCTGGCTAAGAATCAACATAGAGTCCAACTTACTTTTAGATTATGTTGATATTACTGTTATTTTGAGGGTTGTGGTTAGAAAACCATGAAGAGCTTTAAAATGTATGACCAGTCATTGGGTTATCTATCTCTGTGTGTACCTACTTATGTTTATGGTTTTGTAACTATGTAAAGCATTAATCGTAACTTTTTCTTTCATTTAGATTTTGATGCATACGAAGGAGATGGTACAGAAGGTAATGCTGAGCATTTTCATTATACAGTGACTTATAAATATCATACGTTGTGATGTTTTTGTATTCAAGGAAAATTGTAACCCAAACAGACTGGAAATGGCTTCTTAGAATGCCTGGTTTACGTTTATAATCCCTCCTAATGGATTATAGCTTTTTTCTTTTACTAACACTGATATGATCTAGCCGCTGCTTGAAGCCTGTATGTGAGTGTTTCAAGCAAATTAGTAACAGTGCTAATTAGAGTTTACTTCCAGGCCTTAATACTGTATGTGCTCTAGTGTTGTTTGTTATGATTGATTTTTTTTTGGCATTCTTCATTTTCTACTGAATACTGTTTGAAACTGTGAAGAATTTCATATGGATTTGTGCCGCTGAATTTTCAAAACCCATTATGTTTCTGCTTTATAAATTGCCATGACCCCTAAGCTTATGGTACAGTGGATAAATATAGACCCCTACCTTCTTAGTTTCTTCTCCTCCTTTATATTATTCAGTTCCAGTTTGTTTCCGTTGAAACCAGACATTTCCCCTGCTCCTCTGCTATCTGTTTGTTTTAAGAGAATTAGCTATATTTTCTTAATGTGACAGTGGCTTTCCTTTCTAGTTTATTAGAGCTTAATCTTTGATTGTACTCCTCTGACAATATGGATAAGAATAAACATAAACTTTTGAAAAATCAACAGAACCTGTAATTTCTGTAGTATAGAAAATCTTGAGTTTCATTGTATATGATGATCACTGTGTTGTTTTATAATTTTTGCTTTTTATTAGATGAATCTTGAAGTTATTTATGGAGATACAGATTCAATTATGATAAACACCAACAGCACTGATCTGGAAGAAGTATATAAATTGGGAAACAAGGTGAAATAATTTGATGAAATTATCTTTTAGCTACTTTTCTGAATTCTTTTTAACATGAAACTTCATAAATTCACGTATGTGTACATGCATGCTTCTGAAAATAAGCTTCGTGCTTCTCATTTCCTCATCCTCTTATTTTTCTTAACCTCTACTCCAGTTATTTGTTTTTAAGGGTAAAATTCAAAGGAGAATATTTTTTCCTTAAGTGACAAATACATTTTTACTTTGTAAACAGTGTGAGATGTTTTCATCTTGTTTCTAAGTCTGGTGACTGTGATGTCATACTTCTGTGATGTTGGGCTTAGGTCTCGCTACAGTGATATCTCTGACTCTGGGTGTTCTGTGTTTCTCAAGGGGGTTCACACTGCTTCACATCCTGTGATCTTCTGTGTGTCTACTTTCTGATAAAAAAAGAAAGTGAAAAAAATTTTAATTTAAATTTAAAATATAGGGATACCTGAGTGGCTTAGTCAGGTAAGCATCCGCCTTCAGCTCAGGTCATGATCTCAGGGTCCTGGGATGGAGCCCAGAGTCAGACTCCCTGCTCAGCAGGAAGTCTGTTTCTCCCTCTCCCTCTGCCCCTCTCCCCCTGCTCATGCTATTCTCCCCCCGACCCCGCCGCCAAATAAATAAATAAAATCTTTTAAAAAATAAAATTAAAATATGGTCATATTTATACTTACCACATTATCATGCATGGGGAGAAATACATTTCTAGTAGTAGTCACATGGGTTTTATATGCTGATATGGATAAACACCTATTTACGTACATGTACACCCATTAATAATTTTTTATAAGAGTACTTAAAATACATTTGAAAAGGCAAGTGGACATTTAGAAGTCATCATTTGTCGCCTTCTAATTGCAGTTTACAATTAGCAAGTGTTTCTTTAGTACTTGCTATGTTAAGATCTTGTCCCAATAAACTAGAACTAAGATAACACCTTACAAAGTAACAACTTCCTGCCTTTCTCCACTGGTATGTGTGAAATATGACTTGTAGGCTTCACCTGAGAACAGGCCTGGCCTGTTGTCCTCATATTGGACTTCAAAAAGCTGTGTATTTTCCCTAGCGGTGATTGGCTGTGCCTTGAGCCTATCAATAAAGAGCAGGTGATTAGTCATTTTTTTTTCAACATATAGTTATTTCCTTATACGTAAGGTGCTTTGGGATGTACAGGAAGATCTTAGACATTATTTTTAAGATTTTATTTATTTATTTTAGAGAGAACGCATGCACACAGTGGAAGGGGAGAAGGAGAGTGAGAGAGAGAGAGAGAGAGAAAATCTCAAGCACACTGTGCACTGAGCACAGATCGTAATATGGGGCTCCATCCCAGGGCCCTGAGATCATGACCTGAGCTAAAACCAAGAGTCAGATGCTCAACCAACTGAGCCACCCAGGTGCTCCTTAGACATAATTTTGATAGTCAAAGTTTTACTTATTTTTAGCCACATATCTACTTGTTGGACTATCTGGTCTCTAATTCAGTTGTTCGAAGGTAAATACATATGCATTTAGTTTATACATTCAAAAAGACTATTTCATAATTTTTGTAAATTTCCTGGGGCCGGCCCTGCCAATTCTGTCCTTTGGTTGAATGGGATGATATATTTATATTACTGTGTTTTTTTCAGTCTGTTTTTATCCCTGTGCTCTTTCAGTGGTTTTGTATCATACTCAACATAATACTGTGTTCTGTATCACCTGAGTAAATGCCTTCTAATCTTGATGAATTAAAGTTGTGTTTAGATTAACTTCTGGGAATTTGTAGCATGTTCATCTTTTCCATGGTAGATGTTTGAGAAGCTAGTATTAATGCTTGAAATTTTCACAGGTAAAAAGTGAAGTGAACAAGTTGTACAAACTGCTTGAAATAGACATTGATGGTGTTTTCAAGTCTCTGCTACTGCTGAAGAAAAAGAAGTATGGCGCTCTGGTTGTTGAGCCAACGTCAGATGGGAATTACTCCACCAAACAGGAGCTGAAAGGGTTAGATATAGTTAGAAGAGATTGGTGTGATCTTGCTAAAGAGACTGGAAAGTGAGTTCAACTTTCATTTGTGCTTTTTTTTGTTTGTTTGTCTGTAAAAACTTGGAGTACTAATGACATGGAGAAGATCTGTGATTCAGCCAAGCTCAAGGACACAACTTCTTTGTTGTTGTTGTTGTTGTTATGTTACATATTAATGCTTCTCACTTATTTGGAGTGGAATTTCCCAGGTAGATTAAAACTTAAAGCTAAATTTGCTCAGTAAGAGGTACTTGCTATAAGATACATCTTGGGACTTGTAACTCACAGTGAGGGTGAACCTTCACATTTTAGCTCCCTACAGCGTTGGTTTCATTGATGTTAGCTTGTGTCTCTTTTGTTTTGCTTTCATATTCTTATTAGAAAGTGCCTTGTGGGGGTGCCTGGGTGGCTCAGTCATTAGGCATCTGCCCTGGGCTCCGGTCATGATCCCAGGGTCCTGGATTGAGCCCCGCATTGGGCTCCCTCCTGGGCGGGATGCCTGCTTCTCCCTTTCCCATCCCCTACCCCACCCCCCGCTTGTATTCCCTCTCTTGCTGCGTTTCTCTCTGTCGAACAAATAGATAAAATCTTTAAAAAAAAGAAAGAAAGAAAGAAAGAAAGTACCTGTGTTATGTTCCTGAATCATTGTAGAGCCTCTTTAGGAGCATAATTGTTAAGGTGTTCCCATGTTGTGGCTTAAATATTCTGGGATTCATAGTGGGCCATGGACTGAGACTTTGTTCCCATCCGTATCATTTGTGTGTAAAGATTCTTAGGAATCTCTTGCAAAAAGAAAAAAATAATAAAGTTCTTACTAATCTTAGGTTAGTTTAAGAGCTAGTTCTCAAATACCATAAGTACCTCAGAAATAATAAATGTCATGGCTGATCCCCTAGCTTTGCAAGTGAGACTGGAAATTGTGATGCTAAGGCCTGTTTTTTTTAAAGGGTCACATTAATTTATAAAGCATCCATTTAGAAAAGCCTGAATCCTTAGGTATTTAGTGTACCATCTTTTTAGATATTCCTGTTTTATGAGCCTACCCAGTTCTGAAAACAAGAATTTTTTTTTCTTTAAAGCAAAATTTAAATTAATTTTAATATTGCCAAATATTCACACTTTTTACTTATTTTCCAGTCTTCTCGCTTTCAAGTTGGGAGATTGAGCAATTGTTGCTTCTGCAAAACTGCTCTTGATGAGGCAAAGTTGATCATCCAACTATAGGTCACTGTTAGCCTTTTATGAAATGAAATTTGAAACGCTTCATTGCCCCCAAATGTACCCAAAGATGAAACTACTTTGTATAGACTGTCGATTAGAGTGTTCTCTTCAGCTTTGTGTTTTCTAAGAAAAGATGCATCATAATAGAAGTAAATTTTTCTGAGTTAGAAATGTATTAGTAATTAAAGCTATACAAATGTTTTTGTCAGGGTTCTTTTTCTGACAAATTATAATGCAGCTGTCAAACCCTTGCTCTGCATTTTCTCAGAAATGGATAAAATATTGGCTTTTTTACTCCTTTTCTTTTCCCCTTGTTTTTTTGAGGGGGTCTGGTAGAATAATAAGTTTTTCAGGGATAGCGTAAGGTTGGAGAACACTGAGGAATATAATGAAGCTGAAGAAAGAGAAGTTTTAAAATCTTCGGGTTTTAAGAAATTTGCATAAAGAACTATATTTCTGCTTACCTAGCTAATGGTCATCTCAGCTTGGTGATATCAGAGATAATATCTTGGTGCTTTATGGGGAAAGTGAAATTTTTACCTTTTAAAATTTTTAACCTATGAGTAAAGTATAACCGCTTATGAATTTTGTAATTGCATATATACAGTTGTGGATGAAACACATACCTTTCTCTATCCACATTTTGTATGAAGCCTTAGCTGCTGCATTAGAAAATGGTCTGTATGTTTAAGGGCAAACCTGACGTTCCAAGGTTGGTAAACCTTTGGTAGAGTTAATGTTAAAAAACAAATAGTAACGGCCTTTTGGACATTCACTCTCATGTTAGCTTTCAGTACAGCTCTTGTCCACATGTTAATCTAATGGCATTTATCTTCCTTTTCTCTCCTTTATTAATAAAGTATAATATTAAAAAAATGAATCCCTCTCTTTCTTTGCAGCTTTGTCATTGGCCAGATTCTTTCTGATCAAAGCCGAGACACTATAGTGGAAAACATTCAGAAGAGGTTAATAGAAATTGGAGAAAATGTGCTAAATGGCAGTGTCCCAGCGAGCCAGTTTGAAATTAACAAGGTAAATGTAGCATTTATTGCCGAGCCCAGCTGCTGCCGTGTGTTTTTCGCCTCCTTCAGCTAGTTGAAGAACCACCTCATCCTTGCAATTGGAATACATTCTAGCTGGTGATGAAAGCTGCTTAACAACTAACTCACCGATGGACCATTAGCACACCACTCTTCCTCTTCCAGCCGCTGGTGCCGCCATGTCATCCACAGAGGCCTTCTCTCTCCGTTTCTTACTTGATGGAGGCCTCGTTTCCAGAGATTCTATGTAGTGATGTAGTTGATGTTTAGGGGACTAGAGAGTATTACCTTCTGCATAGTCCTCCTCATTTATAGTTGTTTGGGAGGACAGGCCTGTAAGCTTAGAGAAAGATGGAGATAGAGTGCCTGAGAGAGAGAGAGAGAGAGAGAGAGAGAGAGTGTGTGTGTGTGTGTGTGTGTGTGTGTGGCGGGGGGGACATTCACAGAAGGTGACCCTTAGAGGTACTGCAATCAGAATGCTTTTTTTGGGGACATAGTTCTTTAGAATTAAGATGGCGATAGCATTTTCTTTATAGCCAGAGGACTTGTGCTTTTATTTTCTTTTTCAACTGTGTCATTTAGGCTTTATGGGCAGTCTTAGTTTTTGAAAATGAGGAATAATTTTCCTTACCTAATTTGAAAAATAAAACCTTGGTTTCCAAAGTGCTGCGTAATATAACATATTAGATTGCAGATTTCCTTTCTTCCCCCCATTTAAAAAGAGTACCCTTACATATTCAGAAGCTAATTTTGTGAATACCGTTTTACCCATTTTGTGATAAATAGATTACGTTGTCAAAGCTGATACAAAAACGGAATTTTAATGAAAAAGAATCTAATGATGACATTAAATAGAAGACTTAGGGTTAAAACTCATTCATGATACCCCTGTGCTAAAGTGGTGCTTGTCATTTTTGCGTGGTTCCTTACTCTTGAAAACACATTTTTACATTGAAGCAATCACAATATATATTATTTTGAAATCTGTTTTTATTTGACATAAATAGATTGCTCCACATTTCTATATTATCTTAAAAAAGGTTATATTTATCTTATATTTCACTGATATATCTTTATTTAAAATTTCTGTTTGATTATTTACATTAGTTTGGATACTGGAAATAACTGTATTGAACATCTTTCTTTCTTTATCTTTTTGCTTTTGGATGAATTATTTTAGTTTAGGTTCCTTGAAGTGAATTATTTGAGTTAAAAGATTAGTGTATCTCTATGGTTCTTGCTAAATTGCTTTATAAAAGGGTGATACCCATTGATAAGAACAAAATGTATGTGCCAGTTTCCCCACAGATTTGCTCCTATTGATGAGAGTTCACTGGTGATAATGTCACTGGTGATATTTAAATGAAATAGTGCTATCATTATGATATGAAACAGTGTCTCACTGTTGCATTTAATTTGCATTTCTTTGGTTTTCAGAGGAGATGAATATTTTCTATGCATATCCTTAGGATTAGTGTTTATTCTTAGGTGAGTCATTTGTTTCCTACACCTCTACTGTGAGGTCTTTAATGTCACAAAAGAAGACTTTCATTTCTACATGGAAGTACAAAAAAATAGAAGTAAATATAGTAAGAGGACATGTGCATTGGCACTAGCTCTTCACTTGAAGCGATGCAGTGTTTACCCATTGGCATGGCATCACTTGTGACATCTAAAAAGTGATTTCCTTTCCAATTTTGTTTAGTCTGTCCCAGAAATGTGCATGAGTAAGAGTTATGACTTCAGTCTTCTTTTGATCAATTTTTGCGTTGATTTTGTAGACTGTATCCCTGACATGATCTCCCTTCTTAGAAACGTGGGCCCTCTTTAACAGGGGGTTTTAGGCAGGACTTGGGAAGGCTGAATCCAAACATGGCCACATTATTGGCAGAAGAACACTGAGCATTTGTCCTCTAGGTCAGTGCGCCCGCAGTGTCATCTTCTTACAGGAATGATGACACCATATCCTGAGGCACTGGCAATCTCCCGAGTGCTCATGAACGGTCTGCAGACAGTCTTGTTATTTTGAAGTTTTTACCACTGAAATTGTTAAACTTACTACAAAAGTAGAGAATAGTATTATGAATCCCCATGTATCCATCATTCAGCTTCACTAATTATCAATTTATGGTGACATTATTATTTATAATAATAGTAGTACTTAATGTGATTAGGGCTGTGCCCTTCATTTTCTGTGGCAGAGCTAAAATTGTGACTTATTGTCTTTATATTCTCCGTTTCACTTGATGTAGTAGCTGGCAAATAACAGTTGTTCAGTAAATATTAAAAGAATTCACTTGTTTTTCTACTCTTCCCATTCATCAAACATGGAGTACTTCTTATGTGCACCGTGCTACATTCTGGGATATAAAATCGAATAAGCAAATCTTGGTCCATGTTTTACAAGATGGAAATAGTCTTTCAAAGATATTTACTGTCCCATATTTTTATATTTCTTTTTTAATAAAGAAAATGGATTTCTGCAGTGTTGACAGAAGTGCAGTGAATTCTGATGAAAGGACTATCTATATCATAGTTACTCCTAAGTCTGTTTATGGCAAGCTATTTATGTCAAAGGTGATGTGTCTTGATTAACATTTGTCTGAATATTTGCAGTGTTTAAAACTGGTGAGCAATTCAGTTTTTACATTTCATCGCTTTCAAAGGAGAGTGGAATGGAAGAGTCTATATATGCGACTGGTTGTGGTTGGTCTTATGAGAGAATATCTGTGTATCTGTAGTTAGGGATATTTTTTGTGATCTTGGAGGGACTGAAAATAGGAGGCTAGCCTAGGGTAGGGGAGTAAAGTGGTGAGATTTGCCTTTGTGGAGATTTTAGTCCTTGTTGTTAAAAACAACTGGAAAACATCATGTGTGATTTTCTGAATTACCGCAATCTTAGCTTAGATATTTTTCATAAAGTAACACAAAGTACTTCACAGCTGATTTGTATAGCCCTGGTTAACTTGAGCCTGAACCACCAGGAAGCATTTTTTTTAAATCAAGCCTTCTAAAACTAGCTTGTACGATCCTCAAATAGCCCCAATCTAATAACTGGAAAGTATATTACATGAAATTCAGAATTTTTTAAAGATTTTATTTATTTGAGAGAGAGACAATGAAAGAGAGAGAATAGAGGGGGAGGGTCAGAGGGAGAAACAGACTCCCTGCCGAGCAGGGTGCCCGATGTGGGCACTCCAGGATCATGACCTGAGCCAAAGGCGGTGGCTTAACCAACTGAACCACCCAGGCCCCCTGAAATTCAGAATTTCTTAATATTGCTCTGGAGTATAGTAAGTTGAGGAAGATTTTTTTTTAAGTAGAGTTCTATTGATTAAGGTTTTTTTGCAATATTATCCATTCAAGTCAATCTAGACTCTGCGTAAAACAGTTTAGAGGAGAGTCAGATAATTAGAGCATTTCCTAGGTGCTCTCCTGCACTTGAGTGTACGATTTAGAAAGTGGACATGACATGGGTATGTGAGGCTGTGTTGGAGGACCTGCTTTATTCTTCTCCAGCAGTTCCCACATTTCCTCGTCTCAGGACACTTGCATACTCTTAAAATAATTGAGGACTGTAAGAGCTTTTGTTTATATGGCCTGTGTTAATATTTACTGTTAGAAATTAAAACTCAGGAACTTTTAAAGTATTTATGTATTTGTTTAAAAATAGCAATAAACCCAGTATGTGATTACAAAAATAACATTTTTCCTTGAAAAGTAACTATGTATTTCAAAACAAAGAAAAATTAGTCAGAGGAGTGGCATCATTTTATAATTTTGCAGATCTGTATAATGTCCAGTTTGGTAGAAGACATCTGGATTCTTATATCCTCTTGAGTGTCCAGTCTGTCGTGATGTGTGGTTTTGGTTGAAGTATAGGAAGAAAATCCATTTTCACACAAATACATAGTTAGAAAAGGAAATATTTCAGGACTTTTTTTAGATAGTTGTATATATTCTTCTTTGATTCTACACCAGTATTATCTAAGTGGCATTTTCATAAATATTATTTTAATGTGAAAATCTGAAACCTAATCAGTGAACTTTCCATACTCTCACATGAAAGTCTGTTGGTCTGTGTTGTACTTGGAATAGATATTTTACTGATGCATGACATATGCTTTGGTCATTTGTGAAATGATAGTTTCTTGGGTTTTACAGATCTTCCAAATATTGATGCATTTCATTGTACATTATAAAAAATCACATTTTAAAGTATTCCTACCTATATCATCAGAAAAGTCTTTAAGTACTGAGAAGCCGTCAAGCTCACACACATGCAAACAAGTTTTCTACAATTCTAATTTGTGCTTGAAAAGTTGAATTTTATCATAGGCAGTATGTACTGCATTTGTTATTCTTGAAGTTGCAGGCTCACTCTGTTCTTTTTTGAGAAATTGTTTGCCATTGAGGCACCTGGGTGGCTTAGTCGGTTTAGCGTCTGCCTTCAGCTGGGTTCATGATCTCAGGTTCCTGGGATGGAGCCCCATGTCAGGCTCCCTGCTCAGTGGGGAGTCTGGTTCTCCCTATCCCTCTGCCCCTCCCCCCTGCTTGTGCTCTCTCTCAGAAATGAGTAAATAAAATCTTTTAAAAAGAAAAAAAATCATCTGCCATAAACTCACGTTTGAATAGCAGTAGCTGGCCTGTCATGCTTGCAAGGAAGAATTCTGTTCTGTGAACAAGGCAGCTAGTTCAGCTTGTAACTCAGAACAGTTGCACAAGTGCTTTTTCTCGAGCAAACTTCATTCTTCAGTATACAGTAGACATGTCTTGTGTGTACTTCTTATTTCATTCCACAAAATACTAGCCTTTTCTGTTCAGGGTCAGGAGCTTAAAAAACTAATGTTTGCTCTTCCATGAAGGGCATTCTTTAGTGAAATTGGCGCACGCGCACATGTGTGTGTGTGTGTCTGTCTGTCTGTCTCTCTCTCTCTCTCTCTGAGTGTGTGGTGGTAAAGAATACAAGTGGTAGCATAGTTTGGTGTGGCTGCCCTGATTCGTGTTTATGAGACGTGAGAACTTTTACTTAGCATTGCTTCTGCATCACCCATGCAAACAGTATTGTCAGGATGATAATTTTGACCTCTTGACTCCCTGAAAGGCTATCTGGAACCCTAAGGGTTCTGCAGACCACATGGAGGTGATCTAGTCATGTGGGGCACCCTGCCCCCTGCCCTTCCTCTTGTCTTTTGAAATGAACCACGAGACTAATATCTCTCTCCTACCCTTCGTGCATACTGAGTTCCAGTCTGATGGACTGTATTTTGTGTTACCTCTTGCTTAACTTTTGCTTTTATCACCACCCAGAATGTTCTTGCTCCTGTCACCTTTTCTTAAAATCCTCTTTTTCTTCACATGCCAGCTCAAGTTTTTTACTTCTGTGATTTCTGCTCTCGGATGGAAGTGATCTTTGCCTCTCTAAACTCTCTCCCTAACACTGTTCACATGACCCTTAGGGCACATGTGGCTTATTTTAGAGATTTTATTTGCAGAATGAGGAATCATCTACTAATAGCAGATGACTTAGGACCAGTGACTGTCTTACTCCTCTCACAATACTTTACAGTGCTTGAACTTAGTGAATTATTGCAGATTGAGCAAAATAATTCTGCCAACATTTGGTTGTTGCTGTTTACCAGGAATCATTCTGAGCACTGAGTACTGCAAGCCAGGCTGATATGTCCCTGCGCTCATGGGGCTTACTTTCTCTTTGAAACTCGTTCTTTCTGCCTTTATAGAACTTAAATTAACAGTGTGAATAAATCCACCAGTTTCTTGTACCTTTGAGATTTATTTAGGCTAGAGGAGCCTTTGAGAAAGAGATCATTAAGTCAGAGTAGCCTATCTACATCAGTCCTTACTAACCACTTAATTCAGTGAGGGAATTGTAGGCATTAAGAGAAACTGAAGACTTGATAGAAAACTGAATTTTTATCGTCTGAATTTTTTTATATGCAAGTATTATGTGCCATGGCCCATAAACTTCTATTTTTTGCTAGAGTTGCATCTAGTTATATTAGTAAATGAAGGAGGGAGGAGCCTTGAGGATGGAATGTCTAAAGACTGTGGCACTGTTTTCTATATACAGCTTTTGTCCTTTTTATGTTTATGTGTAAGATAGGATTCTAGGAAAGATGTGTTTAGTGTATATCTGTGTGAGAAGGGTTTTATTTTAATGTTTGGGGCTTTTGGTTTCCTCATTTTCTCTTTTAGGCATTGACAAAGGATCCCCAGGATTATCCTGATAAAAAAAGCCTACCTCATGTACATGTTGCCCTCTGGATGAATTCTCAAGGAGGCAGAAAGGTGAAAGCTGGAGATACCGTGTCGTATGTCATCTGTCAGGTAAACTGTAGCAGTTAATAAGACTCCTGGACCCCATAACCCAAAGTAAAACTCAGATCACCACAGTGTTTTATTTAATGGTCTTCCAAATAATTGATGTTGTAAAGAGATGTGTTAGTCTGGTTGGTTTTATAACATTTGAAGCATTAGAGGTATGGTGTATTTTACTAAAATTTTCATAAAACCTTTAAGACTAGTGTCCTGGTTTACTGAAATTGTTTTGGTGAGACAGGAGGATAACAGTAGGTACTGTTTCAACCCTTAATTAACTTAAGTGAAAAATATATGTAAATTTGGTCATATGTCCAGCAGTAGTCCATTATCATTCCTTTTGCCACAGATTCCATTATGAATACTTAGAATAAGAGAGTAAATACATTTTCCCTAGCTTATGTTCTGAGAGTTACTTAAGAAAAATGTGAAGTGCTTGTTAATATGGAGAAAGGTACGAGACCCCCAAAAATATGCCTTAGGAAGAAAACGCAAAAGATCTCACCGGTTTGTTTGTTGTATTTTAAGTGGAGGGGGGCCTAGAACCCACCTCCTTGCCTTATGCCTCTTCCGTGTGGCACCTCTGAGGAACCTCTACCCTTTCTGGAACACAGGTTTAAACCACTAACCAGTTTCTTTGGAGAGTAGCATGCCTCTGACAGGGATGAGGAGAGAGGGTAGGACACAAGAGCAGTTTTTTTTCTTTGAAAGCACTTAACTCCAGTTGGAACAAAGGAGAAGTCTCATCTCTTCCTTTTGCGGAAAAAAAAAGTCACAGCCTTTATCCAAATTCTTTAAAATTACTGTGGTGTGGTATACTTACCAAAAGGCATAATTCATCTGTGTTATAAGACTTACTTTTTAATTAATTAATTATTGCATTTTGTTATTACTGTAAAAAAATTAGATAAGCCTTAAATTTCATTGCATTATGATTGATCTTTGTCAAACTACAATCAATGTGTTTTTAAATCATAGTCTTTTCAGAATTTAAAAATTTTCTGCTAATATCTGCTCGGTACTGTGGGTGATGTACATAACAAATGATTTAAGTACATGGACAGGAATCAGCACTTGACTCTGTCTCCCTCCTAGGGTTACCCTTGATTAAGAACTGTTACAGAAAGCCAATTCCTGCAGGAAAATATTTCCATAAATGTCTGACTCGCTCAAGCCCTTAATGTGCTTTGCATATTGCCTCTGACAAGTCTCATCTCAAAAAAACAATTTTCATATTATGCAAATAAAGATTTTGGTAAATAGGCTAGCTTTTTTTTCACTTATGACTTCACATACATGGAAAAGCTCTTAGATTATTAATGACAGGAGCAGATGGCAATATAGCTTTTAAAAATTAAATAGGTTCCATGAAATAACATCTAATAATGAAATCCAGTCACAATTATGTTTTGGCTAAATCTGGAATGGAGATGTATGGTACTGTGATCGATAGATTTAAAAGTCAAGGTTATGTTCCTTGATGTCTAGATATTAGGTATTATGATCTCTTTTTCCCAGGTCTTATTGAGCTAGTAAAGCTCAAAAATTTCTGATGCTGATACAGTACAATAAATCCAATTTGATGTGTTTTCAACATTTTCCCCCTCCACTGGTGCTAGGCCTTAACTTTCATGCTTCTTAAAACTATAGTTCATGTTTCTTTTTGTTTATGCTTCTCATTGTATACCAAGAAAAGCTGTGGGACTTTTTTTTTTTAAAGATTTTATTTATTTATTTATCTGACAGAGAAAGTGAGATCCCAAGTAGGCAGAGAGGCAGGCAGAGAGGGGGTGGGGTGGGGAGGGGGGAAGCAGGCTCCCCACTGAGTAGAGAGCCCACTGCGGGGCTCGATCCCCAGACCCTGAGACCATGACCTGAATTGAAGTCAGAGGCTTAACCCACTGGGCCACCCAGGTGCTCTGAAAAGCTGTAGGACTTTAATTTGCCTCTGTCCCCTAACAGTGGGCCAGGCCCACTTTGAGCACATTTGTGAGCCAAAGCTCCCTACCTCTTTTGCTTTTAAGCGCTCAAATTATTCTGTTTTTTTAACACAGCCATATTTTTAGAATTTTTTTTTGAAAGTGTATGATGATACACTTTGAAAAGAACAATACTGCTCTAAGCAAAGTTGCCCTCCACAAATAGTCTGTTTCCTAGACAGGTTCTGTTTTGTTTGAAATTTATATTTAGACTGTAGTACTCTAGTGATAATTTATTCTGACTCTACATTCAGATGAGTTCAGAGAGTAATGTTTTTGGTGTCAGATTTACATTGTAGTCCATCAACTTGTAAAACCTATGTGATTTGCTGAGACTTAGATCAACTTCCACTTGTTGGTTAAGTTTTAAACCTCTATTATTAGTAACTTTCATTAGACATAATAGCATAAGGTGTGCCTTTAACATAATTGTTTTAAGGGGGCCACTTGTCACCCATTAACTTTTTTCCATTAGTTTCCTACTAAAGATGACAACATAGTTTTGCAGTCTAATGCTCTACCACTGAGCTATACCCCCAACGACATAGTTTTGAATGAATTGACTGCACCTGGTTATCTCTGTGAAGTATGTACTTTGTGAAGTTCACAAATTAACTACATAGGCTCTTTAAGGAATACCAACATTGCTTCTTAATCTGATTTTAAAGGAGTACACCATGCATTATTGCATATATCATCGGATCTTGCTAGGTTTGAGAATTAGGTCTGTGAGAGATATATGTTATGTCATGGCCTGGATGTTTTTCCAACACAGCACAGCAAAACCTGTCTTATCAATTCTTTTGACTTTAGTCATGTTTGGGCTCAGATTTTTTAAATACAATAAGAAATATGTTTGGGTCAGTGTTAAAACTGGTCCTTCATGTGGTTATTTAAAATAAAAACTTTTTTAACTGAGGATATGCTTAGAAATTTTCCACTGCTTTTTAAAAAAACTTGACTTACTGTGAGAACATCGTCTAATGATATATTGGAAAGTAACTCATATGCTTTTAAAAAAATTTGGCTGTAGAAATTTGATTTTCTTCAAAGATATTTTTTATTTATTTGAGAGAGAGTGAGCGAGGAAGCACAAGTTGGAGAGAGGGGCAAAGGGAGGGAAAATCAGACTCCCCACTTAGCAGGGAACCTGACGGGGAACTCGATCCCAGGACTGAGATCATGACCTGAGCCAAAAGGCAGACACTTAACTGAGTGAGCCACCCAGGTGCCCTTGTATAAATTTGATTTTTATTTACCATTACAAAATGGTAAACTTAACATTGCTATATAATCTTTATTTTGGGGGGGCGCAGAGAGAGAATCTCAAGCAGGCTGTATACCTAGTGCAGAGCACAATGCGGGGCTCAATCTCCTGACCCTAAGATCATGACCTAAGTTGAAATCAAGATTCAAATGCTCAACTGACTGAGCTACCCGGGCATCCCTCAGTATTGCTAGGACAGACCAGTTTAAAAAAAAAACAACAGTCATGTAAATTGATCAGGTTTCAGGCGTTAGTTAAAGAAGTCAGTCTGAATATAGTTGAAGTGTGTGAAGACACTGCCCAGGGATTTTTCACCCTCTTTTTGTCATTGACTGTCATCTTACTCCCATCTAATAATTCAGACTTCGCAAAGGGCAACAATTAAAGGTGATTAATTCTGCCTAATTTCTTTTACTGTGTTGTGAACTCCTGAAATAATTATTTCACAAGTCTTTTAATCCACGGTTTGCTTTCTAAGTATTTCATCATATCCTAGACCATGTAGGACCTAGTTGATAAACATCCCAGTTTGTTTCCATCAAGACCTTTTCCAGAGAAGGAGGTCGCTGCCTCCAGTCTGAAGATAGCGGTGTGCGAGTAGCCTCTGCTTTGGGCTGGGTGCTGAGCTGAGAAGGGGCCGATTATAGCAAGAATGAAAGAATAGGGTTCATGCTATCCGTTTTGCAGAGCAGCTTAGCACTGTGAATAGTCAAAATTGACTAGTCTGAATATTAAGTTCTGTTGTTGTAGAGAAAGAAGGGTGGAGTGAGTTGTCAGATGTTGGCCCAGTAGTGTGATAACTTTTTTTTGAATCACAGATGATGGTGACCTCACCCACAGGGCTGTATATGGACCAGTTACATAGAATTACACAACTTTATTAAGAGGAAGCCTTTGAAAAGATCCTCTTCAACCCATCTTCCTTTCCTTTCCTTGAGGAGAACCGTGCAAACAGTACAAAATGGGATATCCTTCATTCCACTGGCCAAATATTTTGCTTCTAGAGCATTACCACTCCACCAAGAAAGCTCATTAATTTTATTCCTATCTATTATATCTTGTATATAAGTTACTACTCTGTGGGTTTCATACCCTTTCTTTCCCCTTGCTCATTTGCTTTTCAATACATAAAAAATATGACCCGTGGGGCCCTTTAAGATGAGATTATGACTAGAATTCTTGCATGAAGGGATTGTATTAAAAGGACCACCCATGTTTTTTCTCATCATTCCTAAAAGACCTTTCTGACTAGACTAGTAGTTAGCAAGTCTTTCAGTGTGCTTCTGTGATATGGCAGGTGGAATTATTTAATCTAGTCATGCCATCTTGTTGGTTTCATGTTTCAACAAAAAATAGAACACAACACATGCTGGATTTACATTCTTGGACAGTGGGTGACGTGTTTTCCTTGACCTTCTACTCTTAGATACATATGAAATGTTCACCAATAGGTCAAAAGGACTTTTTGGTGTTTGGAATGAATATATAAAATTTGAATCATCGTCCCTCTTTTGGGGCAAGCATGTTTATAGTGTGACTGAATTTCCTACAACTTTACCTGTACTATGTCCTTTTGTAGGATGGGTCAAACCTCACTGCAGGTCAGAGGGCCTATGCACCTGAGCAGCTACAGAAACAGGACAATTTAACTATTGACACCCAGTACTACCTGGCTCAGCAGATCCACCCAGTCGTGGCTCGGATCTGTGAGCCAATAGATGGAATTGATGCTGTCCTCATTGCAACATGGTTAGGTAAGTGCCGCCAGCTCACATAGGCTTTTAGCTGGCTTTGCCAGCACCCACAGTCTTCCCTCCCCTGTTGTGAGCCTTGTTTATGGGTATGGTGTGTGTTGAGCACTTCTTTGTTCATAGATGGGCATTTATTTTTATGACTGGTTGTTTTTTTTTTTTTAAAGATTTTATTTATTTATTTGACAGAGCGAGCGAGAGATCACAAGTAGGCAGAGAGCCAGGCAGAGAGAGAGGGGGAAGCAGGCTCCCTGCTGAACAGAGAGCCCGATGTGGGGCTCCATCCCAGGACCCTGAGATCATGACCTGAGCCAAAGGCAGAGCCTTAACCCACTGAGCCACCCAGGCGACCCTGTGGCTGGTTGGTTAATGTCTACCTCTCTTCATAGACTGTGGGCCCCGTATGCTTCCTACCTCTATAGCCGTGTGCCTGCCCCACAGTAGGCACTAAGTCAGTAAATGCCAAGGGAAGAAAGGGAAGGCAGGAGAAGGAATGAAGACATTTTAGGCACAGTTACAGGGTCTGAGCTTATATTGTTGTGCCTTTAATTGGTGAACTTCCATTAATAAGGAGATTGATGGTATTGTGATGGTTGGTTTATCTTGTCTCTGTCTCTAAATGTATTTTTGTATAAAGTGAGAATACACAGCTTTTTTAACATTAAAAATTTTAATTTTTAGTATTCATTTCCCTGTGAGTATCCTACTCTTGCTTTATTTTAAATTCTTTGAAAACTAGACATGCTGTTACCTTCCAGGAATTAGCTGATTCCTAATTTCTCATCATCCCAAGAGGTGCTAGTCAACTCTAAAATCTCAGCATTTTTTTAACTTTTTGCTATGGCACCAGATAGTTATCTCATGCTTAGAAATGTATTTCATTACTTGCTCTGATTTCATTTCTGGATGACCAGCATGTCAAGAGTTACATTGATTTAAGATGTCTACTCTATCCCATTGTATGCAAAGATGGATATTTTTAGAATACTGCCTAATAAAGTCGTTAGATGGCACCTCACTTCCTATAAGTCCACATGCCACTGACATCTCACAGTCTTTAACTCTGGCAGTTGCAAACTCTGACTTTGGAACTCAAACCTGTATTTCTAGCCTTCTTTCTTAATCGGTGTACTTAGGGATCCCCTAAATAAGTCATTGCTTATTCTGTCCCTGCTTCATGGAAAATTCTCCCCCTCTTCTCATTAAAATGTCTGGCTTAGACATGGGCTTTGACACCATAGGGACTTGGGCTTATATGCTGGTTCTGCTATTCACAAGCTCTGTGGCTTTTGCAAACCTCTAAACCTTGATCTACGCCTTGGTTTCTGGAATTGTAAACTGCAGTTGCACTGCGGGAGCAGGAGAATGATGCATGTGCAGTGCTCAGCGCAGGCCTGGAGCAGAAAGATTACTCAGTGTGTTGTTAGCAGCCACTTCCCACTCTCTTGCCAGGCTTCTGCATACGTGTGTCCACACTCCTCCAGTCCATACGATCTGTACATAGTTTCATTGAAAAGAATGAAATCTTGCCATTTGCAATGACATGGATGGAGCTAGAGTGTATTATGCTGAGCGAAGTAAGTCAGAGAAAGACAAATACCATATGATTATACTCATGGGGAATTTAAGAAACAAAACAGATGAACATATGGGAAGAGGAGGAAAAAAAGAGGGAAGCAAACCGTAATAGATTTGTAGTGATAGAGAACTGAGGGTCGATGGACGGAGGTAGGTGGGGAATGGGCTAGATGGGTGATGGGTACTAAGGAGGACACTTGTGTTGAGCACTGGGTATTGTATGTAAGCGATGAATCACTGAATTCTGCTCCTGAAACCAATATGACACTATATGTTAACTAACTAGAATTTGAAATAAAAATTGAAAAAGAAACATTTATACATAGTTAGTGCTCACTGTGCATGTGTGGACTGGGATTGGACACATGAATAAGTCACATGTTTGCCATCCTGCCCCTGCTGAGTATTTTTCTGAGCTCCTGCCTGTCAGCCCTGACTCCCCTACCCCCACCATTATCTGTTCTGCTACCCAAATCGTCCTAAAATGTGTTCTCCAAGTTGAGTTGTATTTGATGATGCTTATACATCCTCAGCTGGGAGGAGGGGAGTGTAAATGCTCAATACTTCGTAGCTTCCTCCTTTTTTCTTGCCCCTGCCTTGGGTGCTTACTCTGTGGGATACTGTAATAAGTACTTTGCATATGTTATCTAATTTAATCTTTGCACCAGCCTTCTATTCATTCCATTTTACAGGGAAGGAAGCCAAGGCTAAGAACGATCGCTAACTTGGTCTTGTTGCGTAGCTCGTAAGTGGCTGGCTGTGGTCAGATGGAGACCCAGCTGTCTGTGACTCCACATCTTGTGCTCCTCACCAATGTGCTCAACACGCTACTTCCTGTTCTTCGCTCGGAGAGCCTCCAACAGAGGTCCCCAAGCAGGCGTGGATGTGAAGTAGCGGGAGCTTCATTTTCTTTACATTCCCTCTTCTCCCCACTGCACCCCCTGGACCAGTAGCCACCACCTCCCTGGCCCCCAGCATAAGCACCAAAACCCCCTGAGTGGAGCCATTTCTTTAAAGAGTACATCTCCCCAGTTTTTCTGTTTGCATCACCAAGAACCTGGCCTAGAGACTGAGTGCTACCCTTCACTTCCCTGTTTTAAATTTCCCAGTGGCCCAGTGCTGAGTGGGAGTAGATGGAACAAGCGCCATCTCACGAGGGACATGTCAAAGTAAGAGCACAGCCTTGTGTCTGAGCCAAAGAGCAGTCGAGGGAAGGGTGGTGGAGGCTGCCCAGGGGTAGCCTGATGCCTGCTCAACCCTGGTCACAGAGGGGATCACACTGATTCTGTTGGCTCTAGAGTCAGATTTAAGATAACTACAAATTAAACAGTGGGCAGATTTTGACTTGCTTAAGGACAAACTTTATCCTAATTGCAGCTGCCTTATAGAACCAGTTTTCAAAAATGATTTTCAAAGCTGGTAGCCTCATGAGGCCTGTCTTCAGAGGGTTCATGTTATTACTGGCCAGTCTCAGTCCACAGTGGGAGCCGTCCATGCTTGTGCAGTCTTGCCCAGTCCCCCTCTGCCACCGCTCCCTCCCCCCTGCCCCGACCTGTAGGCTCTTGATGCCAGGTAGCCAGTCAGAGCTCCTGGAAGAATCTGTGTCTTCAGCTCTCAAGCAGTTACGGCTACACACCTTTTTATCTTTTTCTGATTTTTATCTTTTGCCACTTGATAGCAGTTCTTACACTGAGGACCTGTGAAGTTGTCTTCACTGTGCCATCCCCCTCCTCCCCTATTTGGCCGCTTCTCCTGCTACACCTCCTGCCATCACCGGCAGTATCCACCCATCTACCGGCATTAGTGCAAAATCCTGGAGTCCTTTATCTCTCCCTTTTTTCCCATACGAGGTGCACGTTAGTGGATTGCAGGACAGCAAATGCCAGTTACCATAAGGATCTGTAGAAAGCGTGGAAGGTCTCCAGACAGCGCTTTGCAGTCATTGGCTCCCTACCCTGTGCCAGAGCCACATTGTGATCTGCATCCTTTATTCCTCCACCCCAAGTCAAAAACCGTGGTGGCTGTTCTTCACTAGAGGATTTGAGGCCCCTGTTACCAGTTCTCACTTAGCCTGTGGTTTTAGAGAGAAGGAGGGAGGAGGTGGGAAAGTGGTGGGGAAGTAAGGGGAGTGTTAGGGGGTACATGGTTTCTAAGAGGTGCAAGCTGTAGGCATAAAATTACTGTAATTTGTTTTTAAAATTCTAAATCTGTTTTCTTTATATAAAAAAAAAACTGCAGTTAGTGAACTGACACTGTTAAATAAGTTGAAGTGTACAAATGTATACATAAAATACAAGCCCTCCAACTGCCTAATCACAGACATAAAATAATTCTCTTGCTTTTAATGTAGTTTTTATCTTTGACTAATGAAATGTATTACAGTGTTGAAACTTCAGTGAAGTTTGATACTTTGTCCTTTTAGTCAGTACAAAGAAATCGGGAATAATGGCATAATTTCATTTAGGAAAATTATTAAGTTCATGATTTTTTATTTTTAAGACTCTTTTGTGGAGAACAAGTATATTTTTCAACTACCTTTTTCTTTTTCTATTGCTTTTATACTGCTTTCCTTGAAATGAAAGGCAAGCATCAAGTGTTGGTATTATCCTGTGGCTTCACTTTGGAAATTCTCCGACTATTTTTCTCCCTATCAAGACACCTCCTGAAGTCTGTCTGGTGGCATGTTGCACGGCCAGGTGTTCTGTATGGGAAGGCCATTTTAGTGAAAAGGAGAGAGGATAGTCTATTAAATAAGTGAATGAATAAGTGTGTTGAATTGAAGGAGAATAATTTGTTCTCTCTAATAACTAATGGTCCTCATTATCCCACAGTAAAATGTGTATCATTTTTCTGAAACCCATGTAAGATTATTGCTGTTGGGCTTAAATAAAGCAAAATTTTACTCTTTTCCGTCTGTGAATGGAAAAAAAATATAGTATTACTCTTCTTACACAATAGCCCAATGGGAAACGTGGCCACTAAAACTTGGAACTCTTAGCTTTTGTTCTCCAGATCGTAGGGTTTTTTCTCCTCTCTTGTTCTAATGAAAGCTCTTTATCGTCTGTGGAGGAAATATTCACAGTGTGCTTCAGCATCCAAATAGTCTTCTGTACCTGGCAAAACAGGCCAGTGATAAGGATAGTCTAAAGTTCATCCTTGAATTTCATCCTTTAATAAATTTATATTTCATGCATAACAGTACTTAGAATTACATAATTCATCCAATGAACAGTGATTGTATAATAGCTGTCAAGTACATTTCTTCATGGTCACTGGTAGATTGCAGGCACTTGGTTGGCTACCTGGGCAATTTTCTCACTGGTCCTGAGAAACTGGATTTTGGGAGAACATGAGAATTTAGAATTTAATCTCTGAAAGTAGGGCTTAACACAAGACAACATGGTTAACCCAGGGTCTTCCTGGAT